AGCCATCTGCTGTTTCAGCTTATACATTTCTTCCCTCATTGCATTAACGTCCATTTCTTCCAACTCTTTCGATGGGTCGACAATACTTCTTTCCGGTTCCTGGTCGACCATATTCAGCCTGTCTTTCGATCGGGTGTTGTATGAATGAGTTGCCAGAATGCCGACCAGCTAACCACCTGCCTGAACTCAATTCATCAACAACAACACTGTTAGTGGTTAGGTTTTCAACAAGTTGGTAATCGCACATTTGAGGGATAAATGCACCTAAGTAGTTAACTGTTTCTATCATGCATTTGTTCGACCGCTTGCGTCATCCCGGCTTGATCATTTGGAACTTTATTTCTTTTTCACTTTCTTTGCTTTTCTTTGTTCTTTTTCTTTCTTTATCCTCTCATCGTCATCGTTTCTTTCCTTTTATTTCCCTTATTTTCTTTTCTTTTTCTCTTTCTCCCTTGTTTTTCCCCTCTTTGCTTTTTCTTTCTTTTGGTTATGGTCGAATCCTATGGAGATTGCCTACGTATCATGACCCCGCATGAATCAGACCGAGCAAAGATCTAGTAGATAAGTGGGAAAGTAAATAAAATGTTTTTGGGATTTTCAGTTTTTATAAAAACAAATGCTTCGATTACAAAGACTCAATACTAACAATTCCAAAAGACTTACAGACTCTGATGCAAAGACAAAACACATACTCCGAAAATAGGCTATCATACTCCAAAGAAATACAGACTCAAAAACAGAAAGAAAATACAAACCCAACATGACTTACAGACTCCGACAGAAGAGGAAATACAGACTTAAATGAAAAATCACGAGTACATCAATGCTCCTGGTGCCCGCGGGACATCATTCGGTCTCGCCACGGGCCTATGTGCAAGATCCCTTTGAAGTCGGTCCAAGTCGTTCATTATTTGTTTAACAAAGGTCATCACCGCTGCAAAGAATGTAGTGCGAGTCATATCCTCACAGATGTGGTACTTCATAACGATGTAGTCAGCGATTTTTCTAATTCTCTCTCTTATAACACCCTTTTCTTGTAACAAACGCCCAATCTGTTGGGCCCTGGCCTCCAAAGTTTGCTCAGCTGCATAATTTTGTTCCTGAAGCTGTTGCAAGTCTATTTCTAACTGCGCCAATGCCGTATAACAGTGTTCCCTTTCAACCTTGAAGTTTTTTGCCTGCTTGATCATTTTGTTTTCTGTGGCGATGCCCTTTTCTTCAACCCTGCAACCTCATCGTCGTACCTTTCTCTCAATTGCTTAACCAGGCGTACCCGTTCATCTGCGTTTTTAGCCAATTGTTTTTGAGCCTTGGCTAGTTCATTTTCTGCTATGTTCAAATCGAAACTGTAGTCACTCACTTTCTGCCTCAGGTTAGGTATGAGTTTTTCATCTCTGTCACTTCGGGCAGGATTTTCTTCTGCTACTTTTATTTTCTGAATATGAGCTCGAAGGGCCTCATTTTCTTTAGCTAGCCTTTTCTTTTCTCCTTCATCTGCCGCAACCTGCAAGCTACTCTCGAATTGAAGTTCTCTGATTTGCTTTTCCAATTTTCCTATCATGGCTCTGTACTCGTTTTCCTTGGCCAACCAAACCCACTGTTCTTGTGACGCCTCAACAAATTCCTAAAGGTGGGGTCTTTTGGCCGGCCTTCCAAACTCAATTTCTCTTCTGTACCAAGCAAGGTATCTTGGTGAAAACTTACCCTTAGATCGATCACGTACACAGGTATTGGCTATTAAGTATTGACATTCGCTCCAGATTTGACGGACTACTGCTTCATGAAATTGACCGTTAGGTCCGATCTCAACTACCTGAGCAATAAGATCTTCATCTCTCGGAACTATCTGGCTTCTCCCGAGCTGCCTCAAAACCCTATATGGGATATAAGGTTGGATACTCCTGAGTCCCATCAAGAGGAAATGAGGCCCGGTGGCTGGCATGTATATGACCTCATCCATAGGCAGCCATCCAAATGTCCACTCTATTTGGTTTGCAGTGATGGAACGGAGGCGCGTTACCCACTCTGTGACCCCCTCTGGCAAGTAGATACCGTCAACCCTCGTGTAAAATTCTTCTATGCATGTTTTTTCTGTCAACCCATAACTCATAAATTGAGGTCGATGGCACAAGTGTTCGATCATCCACATCTGCAACAACATGTTGCACCCCTCAAAAAAGTCTCCTCCGGCTTTGCAGGCTGTGAGAGCGCGGAAGATCTCAGCTACTATCATGGGTGCGAGGGTGGTGTTGGCCTGAGTAAGCAAAGTGCTAACAACCCCAGATACTCATATGTCAATATTCCCGTCTTTTCTAGGAAACACCACGAGTCCCAAAAAGGCCACCATAAAAGCAAAACACCTATGTTCTTCCCACTTGAGGCGGTTTCCTTTGCTGCAGATTTTGTTTTCCGGCTTGTTGAACCCCCCTATATGAACATATTTGTTGTATATAAACTACAAAGTACAAAAACCGGCTGCCAAGTCTGGGTTGTGGACCCCCCTGCTTATTTTCAAAGAGTCTAGGAATCTGTGCACGACTACGGCCCTTGGAGCAATCAGGTACTGGTGTCTCAAAGGAACTTTAGGACTCCAAATATATCCGGCTATTTCTTCCAATGTCGGAGTAAGTTCAAAATCTGAGAAGTAAAATACGTTGTGGGCCAGGTCCCAAAATGTAACCAACGTCTTTACGATGTCTCCCTTGGGATTAATCTTCAGCAACCCAGTGAGGCCTCCCAGATATTGATTGACCGTGTCTTGTACCGATTTACCCAGATCATCCCACCACATATATAATTCCAAAGGGACCTTACTCAGGACTATTATTGGCAAATTCTGACTCGTGCTCATTCTGCACATTTATTAGGGTGGTTAAGCAAAAAATCACGATTCAATTTACTCAAAAATAAAATGGACACACTTTTTTTTTCTCTTTTTTTTTTTACATTTGAAAATATAATCCGGTTTTGCAAATACGGTCTCCCAGCACCTCGGGGGCGAAGATTTTAAGGCTGTGTTGGCTAACTGGTAAAAACTTAAAAAAAATGACCACATGTGGCTGTTCTTGCAAAACAGCCTTCCGGCGCCCTTTTTAAGGACATTTGGCTATTTCTGACAAGAATGACATCGCCCTAACTATTTTCAGATAAAAGTAAAATTTTGTTCATTTGGGTTACTTTTGCAAAAAGGATGTTGGACCCGATGGGGGTTGCCTACGTATCTCACACCCTGTGAGAATCAAACTGGCGTAGTTCGGGCAGATAAAACAAACTATTTTTGAAATCAAACCTTTTTTTTATTGGCAAATAAAACAAACTATTTTTGGAAACAAAAACTTTTTTTTTTTTCATTAGCAAATAAAACAAACTATTTTTGGAAACAAAACCTTTTTTTTTCATTGGCAAATAAAACAAACTATTTTTGGAAACAAAACCTTTTTTTTTCATTGGCAAATAAAACAAATTATTTTTTGGAAACAAAACCTTTTTTTTTTTATTTTCTCAAAAATTCGGCAGAGTTTCGACGCTATTTGGACATTGTTTTTTTTTTTCAAAACAGGCGATTAACTCTCTATAACCCTCATACTGCTATTTTTCTATCCTCAACTTTTCAAATATTCAAAAGCCGGTCTGCATGCAAGTCATAAGCAAATAAATGCACAAGTAGCAAGTAAGATGAATCAAGATGGTCATTTTCCATTTTTGGTACACCTGTCGTAGACAGATCCTACCCCTGTGTTGAGCCTCCAAAGTCAAATGCACATGATGCAAATAAATGTTCCTACTAGGGATCCGGCATGAAGCTGAGTTATTCTAGGTTCAAAAACCTGGGTATTTGTTCTAGACTGTGTACCCGAGCGGACAACTCGAGCCGAGGAGGGGGCTACGTACCGGGAACCAAAAGGCCATCCGGCTTAGTAGCTTGTCCGAGCCTCTTTCTTATTTCAAGATATGACACTAACAGAATAAGGAGTCTCAACCAGCGAGCACATCCTCGAAGATGAGAAAAGAAGGGTTTCGTAGCAGTTTATATACAGTTCAGATAATATCAAAGCGGTAAAAAGCAGCACTTAGCACATTAGGCCCAAACATGTGAATAAAATCAGATAATAAATAAAACGAAATACAACAATTATTCTAAGCTCGAATTCTGAACCCTAAACCATAGATTCTGGGTTCGATCCCCAGCAGAGTCGCCAGAGCTGTCACACTTGCCTTTTTACCTACACCCCCGGAAGGGGTATAAAATACAAGGGAGTTTTTCCAATTAAAGGACAATCGAAATAGGATTATTTCATTTAAAGATTCAGAGTCGCCACTTGGGAGATTTATGGTGTCCCAAGTCACCGGTTCCAATCCCGAATCGAGGAAAAGATTGACTCTGTCAAACAGTCCGCGAACCAGAAATCCAGGTAAGGAATTCTGTTAACCCGGGAGAAGGTGTTAGGCACTCCCGAGCTCCGTGGTTCTAGCACGGTCGCTCAACTGTTATATTCGGCTTAATTATCTGATTTTAAACAATTATGAACCTATATGCCAATTTTAACTTTAATCGCTTTTATTTATTCTTTAAAGAAAATTGCAACGTTATTAAAACACGTCTCGAACCACATCACATAAATGCACCCGTAATTTTGGCATATTTTAACATCGTTGAGATTTGGATTTGGATCACATAAATGCGCACCCGAGTTTAGGAAGGTAAATTATTAAAATAACGCGCCTAAGGCAACTACGCGTTTACAACTTTGCGAGGGCCATGAAAAATTCGCTAAATGGCGCGCCTCGATTTCTAAAGATTGTCGTCAACTAAATCAAGCTAAAGAAGTTCATATTTAAAACTAATTTGATGTTTCAATAAGGCTATTAATTACACACATGCTTAGGGTGATACACTAGGCGTTATCCAACTCTATCTAGATAAATAAAACTTCTGAAACTATAATAACTTAAAATGAGGTAAAGCTATAAGACCAAAACAGATAATAACTCCATCTTAATACATCTCTTTTAGTCAGCCAGAGATGGCCTAGAGACTCACAATTTTCCCAGTTGCTTCAGTGATCAGTTTTGACCAAAATTTCGTTTTCTCCACAAGACAGTATTGAGCAACTTTCGATTTCCTTCTTTGGAGTACTAATCATGGCAGTGTTGCTCCAATGAGATGACAAACAAACAATTTCAATTACATTCCCATTTTTCATAATATTTCCCAAGTAAGACCACAATTCCATGGAATCAAAATGACAGATGTACGCCTACTCCAATTAAAAGAAGTGAACTGGCATGCTGGAAAATTCAACAATAGGTTACTCTTAATAGTATATAAAGAAAACATCACAAACAAAAGCGCTTCTAATGAAAAATTAACCCGAGCATAATGATGAGAAAGGACACTGATCAGCAAGGTTCACTTAAGTTAGATTGTCTGCTGACCAGCAAATCTGTTGGGGTGAGGAACATACAAGAGTGTGAGGGTAAACAACTCAAAGCTGTTCGGCAAATGGTTGGAGAAAACTTATCTTGCACAACTAGCAGTCAAAGTTAAAACCTCAATTAGATACTAAAGTATCCAGCAACCAAACCAATGAGAGCCAAGAGTGAAAAATTTGCACCCAAAAGACTGCGCATCTGCTGCTCAAACAGCGCAAAACAGGGCAAATTTTCAGTAGGGATAACAGTCTGGACAGATGTCCAAAATGCTGCACGTTATCGGCTTGAATTACTGCTTAAATCGACCTCTTCAGCAGCTCGAAAGAGCAGAATTCTTATAGCAGGAACAAAGCAGATAAATTTTTGAGCAAGAGCAAAAAACAGAGCAAAACTGAACATATACAATTCGCAAAACAATTTATCTTCAACACCACTTTAGACCATGATCCAATAAGAATGAATTGTCGAGCAGCATACCAAATTCACAAGTTCCTGTAGGCAACAGAGAATCCTACTGCTCATACCATTTAACATGAAGAAACAAAGAAAAACCAACACGGGTCTAACTTAATACAACACGAACCAATGCAGCTTTGCGGCGAGCTTTAAGACTCGATGAATCAAGACTAAAGTAGAAACGAGAAACTATTTTCCAATTCCCAGAACTTCAAGGTTGAGCTCAACTCACACAACTGGACCTCAGCCTCTAGTTTTAAGTCCAAATAATGTCAAACAAACAGACGCGAACCAAGTTCTCAGCCACAGCACATCAAAGAAAATCGACATAGCTCAACAGACTTTACACAAAAAAAAATAAATTTCAGCTAGTCACAAATCAATAAGAAACTAAACTCGAATTCACTGATTCGATCCCACAAAAACTTAAATGACAATAACAAAGAGATGCAAACTCAAAAATTCAATAGCTCAAGAACAGCTAAAACCAGAGTTATATGTGAGAAAGAAAACCAAACCTGAAGTTACGAACTTCTTTTAACAATTACAGCCTTAATAATACACCTTTTGCCTTCGAATACTAGCGAAGTTCAGCAGCAAATCAACAGAACAACCATAGAAATCCAAGCCTAAACTTCAATTTTTATCTCCTTGAAACTCAAATCCGGATTCAGGATAATAGAAAAATTTGTACCTATACTTCTCTTAAACCTTGAAAGGACCCTTCAAAGAAGAATATCAACCCCGAAAACCATCAGTTCAATAAGCTTTTTAACCCTTTTTTCAGAAAATTCTTTTTGAGTCTCCCCCTCACAAAATCGGATAAGGCTTCTTTTGAAGACCAATCCTTGATGAATATGGGGCTCGGATTGAGTGAAATCAATCCAACGCCTCACACTCATCCAGCATCTCGTCTCCAGAGCCTTTCAATCGTGCGATAAAACTCGAATTCGAGCGAGTGAGAGGAGAGGGGAATCTTTGGTGTTAGAAATCGTTAGAAATGGTGATAAGGAGAGAGGGGGAACGTGTGAGGTGAGATTTGGGATTCACTCGCCCGAATTTGGACTGAATTTAGGGCTTGGTTCGAGTGATTTTGGATAAGAAGAACAGTAGGCATCGGTTTGGGACTTAGGGCTCGTTCGCTTGTTTCATTTGGGTTTAATCCATTATTTGGGGAGCGGGTCGGGTTGCAGACGGGTTGGCCGGGCGGGTTTGGCGTAATTGGGCTGGGGTGAACGATTTCAATTTGGGCTTGGACAAGAAAATTGGAGAATGGGTCCAATTGGCATTGCTCTTCCTTTTATTTTCACCTATTTTCAATTTTTCCAAAAGTTCTCTTTGTTTTTTTTTCAAGATTAAATAAAAATATAAATTAATTCCTAGAACTTAATTCACCTAACAAACACTAATTAAACCTAAATGGTAATTGTCACAATTAAAAAAATAAATTAAAGGGAAAGCTACTTAAAATCAAAGTTAAAATTAAAAATGCAAATTAAACTATTTTTGTGTAATTTTCCTTTTATAAACAACATAATTGCTTAATTTGACCTAAAATATTAAATTAAATCCTAAATGCAAACGCACATATATTTTTGTATTTTTCATTAATTAAAATGCGCAGACAAAAAAAAAATGCAAACAATTAACAAAATGCTACAAAAATCTACAAAATTTGCAAATAATGTAAGAAATTATTTTTTTTTGAATTTGTGGAGTAATTCATATTAGGCAAAAATCACGTGCTCACAGAGGACATTCTTAGATTTTTAGGGCTCGACCTCGGATTTAAGATTCGAGAGATTCTGGCAATATTCGAGGGAAAACAATAATGGATTTGGTACGAGGAGATATGGGGGTTAGGTGGTGTTGATTTGGGGTCGATTGGGTAAGTTATGGTTTAAGAGTCTGACCTTAGATCCCATATTCGAAGAGTTCGACTATGATTCGAAGGTAATGGGTTGAGGATTCGGAACGGGGAGATGAAGGAGAGTCGATGGTGTGAATTCAGGGTTGTTTGGTGGTTGCCAATTTGGTTCTGGATCGGGTCAAGGTTTGGGAAATGGGCGAGAATCTGGACCGTTTGATCAAACTAATTCAACGGTCCAGATTAAAACGCCTGAAACGGCGTCGCTAGAGACGGACCGGCTATTAGGGCGGGTCTAGGCCGGTTTTGGTTGGGTTTTGGGAACAATTGTCAAGTTTGGCCCAAATACAACCTTTTCTATTTCCTTTTATTTTCATTTCTTTTCCTTTTCCAATTTCTTTTAAATTAAACTAAAATAAAAACCTAAATTAATTCCTAATCCAAATTATCTAATTAATTTAATTAACTCTAAATTATGACTACCACAACTAAGTTAAGTACCAAATTAAAGGGAGAATTACCAAAAAATCAAAAANTTTTCATTTCTTTTCCTTTTCCAATTTCTTTTAAATTAAACTAAAATAAAAACCTAAATTAATTCCTAATCCAAATTATCTTATTAATTTAATTAACTCTAAATTATGACTACCACAACTAAGTTAAGTACCAAATTAAAGGGAGAATTACCTTAAAAATTAAAAATTAAAAATTAAAAATTAAAAATTAAAAATTAAAAAGCAACAATAAACTATTTTTTGTGATTTTCCATTTTTGTAAAGCTACTTAATTAATTCTTAAAAATGCAAAGTTAAATCCTAAATGCAAAAAAATGCAACATATTTATTTTATTTTTAAATAATTTAAATAAAATAAACATGCACAGACAAATGCAAACAATAACAGAAAATGCCATAAAAAATCCGCAAAAATTGCGAACAATGGAAAAGATTGTTTTGTTTTTGAATTTATGGGAATAATTCATATAGGGAAAAAATCACGTGCTCACAGCTGCCCCTCTTTGCTCGGAAACACGAAGAGTTTTCGTGAAAAGATCAAGTGAGCGGATACGAGCGATTTTTTGCCCATTTGAATACTCCGTGGGAAGCATCTTTGAAAGAATCTTGCCGAACCTCTGCTTCAAAGGTTTCCTATATATCATTGGCTATAAAGGAATCGGGTCAGTGTAGTTCGGGATGTTTCGGTAGTTGGGACTACCATGAAGCTGTGATTTCACTGTTGCTATTGCTGCTACTGCTTACTAACCTCCTTATTACACCGTGACAAAATAAAAGAAGCTAGACTAAGCTATGAACTATGCATTACAAAAATTTATTTTCAAACTTGATCTTGTTGTTGCCTTGTTGACTTGTATTTTCCTACAGAAGTTCCTTTGTTGCTTACTTGAATCGTAATTTTGTGATGCTTTCCCTTTCCTTCAATTACTTTCCCTTGTTTTCCAGGTGGATACCTGATAGCCGAACTTTAACCGTCTTCCTTTGACTGTTATTGCCTTTCCTTGAATTGCTTCCTTCTGTTTTTCTTCCTTTCATTTTTAGGTGGTTTTTTGATTGCCAATACTTGAATTGTGTTCCCTTCCTATGAAACTCGAATTGCTTTCCCCTTTTAACTTGAACTGTCTTCTTTTGACCATTGTTGCCTTCCCTCTGTTCTCCAGGCGGGCTCCTGATTNAGCGCCTAACTGCTGAAACTTGAATTGTATTCCCTTGCTCTCTAGGTGGGCGCCTGATTGCTGAAATTTTAACTGTTTTTTTCCTTGACTTGTTCTCCCTTGTTCCTCCAGGTGGGTGCCTGATTACCAATACTTGTGTCAATCTTCCTTGAAACTTGATTTGTTTTCCCTTGTTCTCAAGGTGGGCTTCTGATTACTTGATCCTAAACTGCTTTTTATCCTTAACATCCGTGTTGTTCTTCCCTGTTCTTCAGACGGGCACCTGACTTCAACAAAATAGACAAAACAAAGAAAATTTTCTACCCCAGTTTGGTAGGCGAGAACCTCTGTGAGTGTTAACTGAATCATGTTACTCAATATCTCTAACAATCTGTAAACTAGATTCCATTATCCAGGAGGGTCCTGAAATTTTCTAGTAANTCAACAAAATAGACAAAACAAAGAAAATTTTCTACCCCAGTTTGGTAGCCAGGAACCTTTGTGAGTGTTAACTGAATCATGTTACTTAATATCTCTAACAATCTGTAAACTAGATCCCATTATCTAGGAGGGTCCTAAATATTTCTAGTAAAATGCCCGTTTCAAAGCTGCATTATATTTTCTTCTATTGAACCTTGTTATCTAACTTGGTCCTAAAACTTCATCCTATTATCCAGGAGGGTCCTGAAAAGTTTTAAATTAAATCTTATCTTACAAGTGACGCCTTTAAAGCTAAACTATACTTCCTTATAGCCGAACTTATGCTAAAACTTGTTATCTAATGGAATTCTTAGTGCTACGTCCCATTATTCAGGAGGGTCCTGAATTTTTAGTGAATCCTATCTCAAGCGTGCAAACTTCAAAGTTCCGCTTATATTCCTTTGGGGTACATTTATGCAAGATTCCGCTACTCATGATTATTTTGAATTTAAAACTGAGTCCCATTTTCCAGGAGGGTCCTGAGAACTTTGCGATCAAACCTGCTTTGTGCTTGCTCTTTCTTCACGTAGGATTTCTCCAAAACAAATGAAATTTTTGCCCCTGTTTCAAATCAAAGAAAAATCTTGTTTAAAACGTGGTGGTTAGTTGTGGAATTCTTGCTGAAGGTGGTTCTTCCTTTTCTATGCTTTGCTTTGACTGGCTGCCTTGAGCCAGTCGAGAATTGTTTGACCTTCTGATTGATCCTTAACCCCAGGACCCTAGATGATCTGAGTGCTCTACACCCCAACCATTGTTTTTCATTTCTAACCTCTGCATCTCCCGCAACATTACTGAACAATTTCACCTGATTTAACTTTTGCTTACACTCTATGTCCCACTTTTCATCACACTATCTCTGGCATGTCCTAGCCGCATTTTGCTCTGTGCAATTTTGAAACTGTAGTAAACTTTGAAATTCCTTCTTATTTGTTGAAACAAGGCTATCCTTGGAAGAGCTTTAGAGGAGTAAAATTAACAGCAATGAAATGCGACGATTTTGAGAATTAAGAATAAAGAAGAAAATCCAAATTTGGATGACTGTTGGAGAGAGAAAAAGAAACTTATATGAGTGGAGTAACTGACACCAATAATCATGGTATACATTTTGGATTAATCAACCCAGTATGTTTAACCAATCACTTTTTCAATTGTTTTACTTTGTGCTCCAAGATCTCCGCAACCTGATGTTTACTTTCCGCCAGCTTACAGTCCTTGTTCGTCTTGAAGTGCCCTGAAAGGTTTTCACCGACAAACCTCTCTCATTTGTTCATTCCTCAATTCCTTGTCGCCTCATGGTGCCCGTGAAGGATTTCACCAATAAGACTCTCTCATAAGGATTTCACCAATAAGACTCTCTCATAAGGATTTCACCAATAAGACTCTCTCATTTTTACTTTCTCTCAGCTTTCGTCGCCTCATGGTGACCACGAGGGTTTTCACCAATAAGACTCTCTCATTTTTTGATTTCTCTTGCTTAAACCAGAGTGTTGCCCCTGATATGAATCCTTTTTACTTGCTTGACTTGGCATCTCTCGAATACTGATCAGGAGGTCTTTCTTTGGATGATAATGTGGGCTCTTTGGATATGTTTGGAAACAAAAGGGTATCAAAAAGGCTCAAAGCAACTTAAATGGGTTAAAATTACAACTTTTAGAATCTGATCTCTTACCACAATCACAACTTCTACCCTAGTTTCTTGCTTGGGGATTTTTAATTTTTATTTTGATATGATATGACCGAGCCATGAGGCTGCCTACGTATCCTTAACAGGAATCAGGTCAAACGTAATTCACACCTGAATTTCTTTGTTTTCTTGTACTTTCTCTTTACGCTTCTTTTTTTTCTTTCTTTTCTTTCTTTTTCGTTATTGATTCTAAAAGAGGGGTATGAAATAAAATAAATAAGGCTCATAAGGGGAAACACAAGGTAGAGTGTTTAGATAACAGAACAAATTGCCTTCGTCATTCCAATCTTTGAAATAATGCCAAGTACAAACAATCAACAATTGAACCAAAGAAATCATACATAATATCTCTTGACTGCATCAGAATTGATAGCCATGTCTACATATTTGCCTTCGATA